ATATATATATGTGTGTGTATATAAATATGTATATATAAATATATATGTATACATATGTATATATATATATACATATATATATATATATATATAGTATATATTTTTGTACACATATATATATATGTTTAGTTGATATGACAGTTTTCTTTTTGACAGCCACAGTAAAATGACAATTAAAAAACTTTAAAACATTACATTGTATAATATTTATCAATTTCTTTAAAATTAAAAGAAACTCGTCCTGAACATTTTATTTTATTATTATTATTAGATAAAATCTACATCAAAGCCTGATGTTCTGAGAAGAAACAATTCTTGCAAAAAAAAAAAACATTTGTCTTGTGTGACGACTTATGCCTTTCACAAAATAGAAAAAATTTAAAACCAGAGGTAAATTAAAATTCAATTAAAAAATACTTTATTAATCCCAGAGGGAAATTATATGTTAAATTATATGTAAAAAAAAAAAAAAGCTTATTAAAAAAGCTTATTAAAAAAAGCTTATTAAATTAAGTTATATGTTGTGGTAAAACAAGTGTAATAATCAAGTAGTCATTAAACACGCTAATAAATGGAGAAACAAAACAAATTATTTGAACATAAAAAATTTTTGGTAAGATAATAAAAAAATTGAAATAAAAAAACTGTTATTTCAATTTATTTTTCGAAAAACTTTAAAGCAAAGTGAGGCATTTCAAGACTTTAAAAATCCTTAAAGATATAAAGAAATTGCCTGCCCGCCTGCGAATGCTCAATGTATTTAGTTGGCACATCACAAAATCATTCAGGATTAATTGCAAAGCCGTAAAAAATATTTCTATTAATTTTTCAGGGCACTTTTATTCAAGATTTCCTACAAAATATCAAATAGAAATCCAAAGCCCTAAGTGAGTAAATTCATCGTTAGGTTTGATAATAAAACAATATATAAACCAGAATAAATAAGTAAATATGGAAATATTCATGATTGTTCTTCATTCTACCAGAATAAACTAAAAATCTCATTTTAAGCGTGATTAAAAAACACTGGAGCCATAATGACTGTAATAATGATCAGGCAAGCAGAATTAT